GGTTAAAAGTGGACAGGGCTTGTACATAACAGGCTTTAAAAAATATTAAAAATCATACATTTGACCTACAGACACAGCATAAAGTATGTGATATATAACAAACAATTCTGATACTCAAACTTCTCAAGTTTTATTTATTTACTGCGTTTGTTGGAGAGAAATTTGTCCAAGAAGCTAAAAGATCAACAATATGCTACAAACAACATGACAAAGGCTGACATGCATAAAAGGGCTTGGACCCCGGTCATAACTGCTTTGCAGTTCTAGTTTTATTTGTTTTCCTTCTTTCATGCAGGATGCTGTTGGAAAAGAGCTCAGAGAAGCAGCTGTTTTTTTGTTTGATGGTGTCATTGAAGGCTGTGACCTTGCGTTATAGTCAGCCCAACAGTGAAACTCAGACCATCACCTTCAGGACAGAGGGCCGACTGCCACTGGATGGGTGGACTCATCTTACTTTGCAGGTAAAAATTCTCAATAAACTGAGAAGTGAAATGACTTGTTAAACTTGGAAATGTCAGACTAGGCCGGTAACATGTAGTTGAGATAGTTTTACCTCCGCCAAGGGCGAGGTAATGTTTTCGGTCGCATATGTCTGTCTGTCTGTCGTTCTGTCTGTGGACAACATTACTCAAAAACTTGTGGACGGATTGTCATGACATTTTTACCACATGTGGGTACTGGGCCAAGGAACACACCTTTACATTTTGGTGACGTTCCGGATCACGATGCGGATTCAGGAATTTTTTTTCTTTTAACACTCTGAGATCGGCAAAGCTGTGATGCTTTCACAGGGCTTCTGTAAAAACAGTGAGCTGGATTGGACAGCACGGACTTCAAACTTTATAAAAGTAATGTTAAAACCAGATTTAATGATGAACAATTTTTGCCATAACATGCGCATTTACAGAACGTTTTGTAAGTGTGTGACTGCACCATGAAAGCAATTTTTCCCATTTCCTCAAACACACCACATTTCCGAAACAACCAATCAAAACAGTTTCTCGCTACTAGGCTTGTAAACAGAGAGCTGCCGGGCCTCAAAGTTTGGAGACGGGGGGAGCCAGGAAGCACTTTATAAAGAGAGTCAAACTCATACAAGGGGATAAAACAGACGTTTTTACATGGTGAAATGTGACTGATGAAAACTTAGGAGCTTAATCCCACACCAGTTTGACGATGAATAATGTCAGGTGACGAGTCTTGACTTTTTTTTTTCACATTGGACTCCACCGAGAAGAAACCCCGTGCATACTGCTGCTTAAATGTTCACTACGTCATAACTTATGGCAAATGTGTTTCCATCTCTGCTTTTGCGCATTAACTCATAGAGGATGGGGGAAATTGGTCTTGGCGGAGGTTTGCACTCTCCGAGTGCTTCTAGTTTACATTTGTTTTCCACCTCAGGTGCATTTTAAAAGTTTGTATTTTGTGTATTAAATTACAAACTTAATTTTCCTTAATTTGGGCTTTGATTATTATGCACATTTTTTGTTTACAACAGAAAAATACAATTTCAGGTTGCCCACAGGCTTACATTAAAAGGAACAAATAAACTAGTTGAATAAAAGTGCACAGAAAAGTTACAGCCAAGTTAGTGGATTTAGTGGCTAAATTATCCTTTCTTGGTCTTCCATGTTGAAACATTAGAATCATTATGATCTTGGTTAGTCAACACATTGTCACTTTTTTCCCTCAACCTAGTGAGGTTTGTGATGTTCAAGTGTGCTTTTTAGTCAGTGAATGGAACAATCTGCGTTTTGTACTATCAAGTTGGTTCTTCAGTGGTACCTTTTTGTAGCTTAAAATCAGAAAGCTTAAGTGGTATGTCAGCCAGAACATTGACAAGTTAAAAGAAGTTAGTAATTCTAGCCCATCATGGAGGAAAACTAGAGGCTTTCATCAGCTCTCATCATTCTAAAATGGCAACTAGTGAAGTGAAGAGTTTTGAGGCCCAAATGAATCACTGAGTGATTTTTTTTCTTGTCTAGCTGAAAGGTTTCAGTTTACAGATTGCTTCACTGGACAATCTCTCTCTTTCATAATCTATGAATAACACCATGGGTTCTACAGATCTATAGATATTTGGTCACCATGACAAGTCTTATCATTTTAGACAGCTGAAACTTAAGTTGTGTATTTGTCCATAATTTTTATAAGCATAGCTTTTGCCTGCTTTGTGTGATACTCACATTATGTAGATCCAGTAATAATAACTTACGCATACTGTCTAAAAATGCTGTATCAGATTTATACGTTTCTAAAACAGATGATTGTCTCACAGTTAGAACATATATGCCTGAGTTTATTTTTCCTACAATGTATAGAGATTGACACAGTTTGAAATGTATAAATCTGAATGCATGGTTTAAAAACGTTAGTGGTAAAGTATTTGGTTTACAGTTTTCTGATGGGTGTTGATGGTGCAGAAATATGGTAGTCCAATGTTTTGCTGGCTAAATGCAGTGTTGGTGACTCACTTGGTAGCTTATGTGTGCACAGCTTGCAAGTACTTCTAAATAAAACCTGTCAAATCTGTTATGTAAGACATTCTGTCATGCTAAACAGTTTATAGGCATGGAAAATGTTAGTCTTCGGGGCTTTTTGCTAATGGCTTGTTACCCAGGTGTAGTTTTGAGTTTTGAAACGTTACCTATTTGTGCATTCTTGTGATCCAGTCTGTCTTTTTGTTTACTGGTATGATAGTGTTGTCTGCTTTGACCATTTAGAAGAAGAACATAATGATTCTTGACACTTAAACCCCATTCGCATGCCCATGTTCTCGTGCATGCACACACGCTTAACTACTCACTCTGTCACATAAACACAAAGACATAAACTCACAGTTCAGTAGTAATTTGTAGCAGTCTGTCAGCCACAATACAGCATTATGCAAAGAAGGAGCTGAGCAATTTAGAAATCTTTTCTTTCCATATATAGGAAACAGACACTCACACACATACACGCACACACACACCATGCACACACCAGTCATCTGTCAGTTTGAACAGATCAAAACACAAAAAAGGAAAAAAAAGACAGTTAAAAGGAATGCCAGTTTCCAAGTGCCAGGAGCAACACACACACACACACACACACACACACACACACACACACACACACACACACACACAC